ATTCGAGCGATATGCAGAGTTCAATGAGGGGGATTCATACTGGCGAAAGGCATTCGCATGCTTGCTCTGTCTGAACTAATAACAAGACTGCATCAAATCCTTACAAAGATCAAAAATAAGGATACTATGTTCTTACTTCAGAAGAAAATCGACGCGTTGCCAGGGGACATGCCATACTCCTCAGCCTGAATTCAAAAAGCGTCCATAACCATCTTCGGAGGGAGCTCGTACCAAGGACAACGCTCAGCTGATCGAACGATAAAGCGAAGGGCAAAATGCTGATGCAGTACATCGAGGAGACGTATCCGACAGTCAACAAAATTTCGCAACGAAATTAAAGGGGTCTGCCTGCCACCCCACAAGGACTTCCTCTTTTGTTCCTATGTTTCACATAGTGCCGGTGTCTGTCCACGTACATCTGGGAACGCCTGAAGAAGTTGTAGTCGAATCCAAGCCAAACACCAGACGGACTGCTGTCTATTGTAATGAAAAATGTCAGTGTGCATAACACTCTGATAGGTTTTTCGTCTATCAGTCGAGGTGTGCCTGAAATCGTTAAGGCAGCGACAGTGTGCTCTGTCCACAGAAAAGATTCAAAAACAGACTCCCACATCAAGTGGCTCGTATCGTTAGTTTATGTGGCCTGCAAAATCCTGGGAAATATTGTTGTTTAAACGATATACGGAAACGCCAATGCACAATAGTTGTTAGCCAATACAGATAATAACATTATATCGATTCTATGAATATGTTTTATAATATAAACTGAGACATCAATTGCTAGTAAAACCTTAATAACATAAATTTTAAATAGAGGATCGAGTGGTCCACAAAAAATATTTACGCATCCCTCGGAAGCGGTCCATGTAGTTATGTCTACTGTTCGAGTTTTGGACGATTTCATGACCGCTGTAACTCCCAATACTACTAGTGAAACCACTAAGCGAATACGCATCTAGTATGTGTATGTTCGGTAGCTCAGTGATCAAGCTGATTTTTACACCTCTAGCAAAATACCCTCTACCTTGTTGATTTACCTGGTGACTCTAGTTGCTCTCCACTTTGCCTCTATACATATGAAAGCCCGTCAGAATTGGTGATCTGAAGAAGAACGATTTTGTCCTCGGGCTACAAAGTCAGTGCTTGCTTTCTATTATACTTTTATCAAGCACTCGATATATTCCTGAGGGAGCAATTTTGTACGGAGTTGCTGCACTTGCCGCCGATTGCAGAACACGCAAACTTAGTGCTACCTCACCACAGAACTACTACAATTCTCGCTTCCGCTGCCGGTGCCATAGCTTGCATACTACTATTACTACCACAACACCATATCCCTATCTGCTCTCTTAACCCTGCGGCCGTAGTGACATAAAGCCACCTCGGCAGTCTAAGCTGAAACACGCCTCTCGTTCGCACATACATACCTAGCAATAGTAGTAGATACGCGCCCCCTGTTACTTTGCTTTGAAATGTTATACGCGAGCTTCTATCAATTTCATCGGATGCTGCGGTTCAAGTCTTTTCCTTTGCCGCCGCCGCCTCTTTCCCTTCCCAATGGGCCAATAATAATAATCAGTAAAACTTGTTGTCGTTCGACGCCGCGCTAGCCTGATAATGATAATTATTACTTTTTATTATTATTATTATCCTTAGAACCATTATTACCTAAATTTGACTATTGACTGCATATCGAGTAAGCATCGTTACGCACTCGACAGTGTAACCCAGATTTGCGGATCAGAAGGACCAATTTCTCCTTTAGCTGTTATGGCGACCGCCATGGGTTTATGTTGTTAAAGCACAATCTCTAGTATCCGTTGCCTTAATAATTAGTAGTAATCGAATTCGCTTACTGTGTTTTTTCTCGTAGCTATTTTTCTCGCCACAGCGATACTTCTTCACCTTAAGTATACAGGTTCTCTGATATATTTTTACGAAAGTAATATTCATCCAACTATGAAATCACTTCGCGCTAAAACAGACAATTATTTATCCCATTGATTGTATTTTCTCCAAGCCTAGCTTATAATTTGATAGCCTTTCTCGTAGACCGCTACTGTAATTGTCATGCAATCAACAGTCCTGACTACCGCAGACATCGTACGAGCCAACGCTCAGAAATTGATCGACCTGACGTGTCTAATCCCTAGGGTCTTGAAAATAAAACCTCGGTCCTCTGTATAGTTCAACCGAACGCTGACGTTTGTATCACACTATCGAACGCCGAGCCCTATTTGATCCCCAGGGAGCCTCGAGATCACAATTCAGCAGAGGAGCGTAAAGGAACGTACATGAAGAACAATGTCAATGCCGACCACGGAGTAGCTACCTATAAATTCTCTGGGCTCCATTTTCCCCTCGGTCCTGCTGCAAACGTTATGTGTCCTGCCTCTGTGTGAGAAAGAGCAGCGTGCACCCGTACAGCAGCTAACACCAGTAATAGTAGTAGAAGACATGGAGGAACAAGAACAGGAAAAGCTATGATTGCGACAGAGAGATAAAAAGGGTGAGCTAGTTCTGAGCAGATCATTGCTGCTACCACCAAAACTTGCTGCTTTTTTCCAAATTCGGTCTGTTCTATTTGTGTATATGCAGCAAGATGGGAAGCATGCTCTTCCAAATTGTCACGCAGCCGGCGCCTTTGGTAAGTGGCGTCTGTCGGGAAGCCGCTATTCCTGGAGATGTCGTTGCTCCTTTTTTTCTCGTTTGCTGATCTTTGTTTCTTCAACTGCAATTGATATTCTTGACTGTACTCCTAGTCGTCGTCGTCGTCGTCGTCGGAAAAACGGCACCGACCATAATGAACAACAAGTTTTCCTTCACCTCATAAAGTGATTCGATTTATAAGTGGCAGGAGACGTGAAGCGACACAGCACTTGATCGGGTACCGAAAAGATTATTAGGTCGTGGTCTATCGAATACCTAGCCTACAGCTCAGTTGAACCGCTATACAAGCTTCGGTCGACGCGCTCGTTTTGGAATTGACCCACGCCTGACATCCTCGTATCTGAACCCTGCAAGCTCCTTAAGGACTGGTCCACAACTGCAGTGAAATAAGTGCTCCATAACGACACGGCCGTTCAAATATAACTTTTAGCTCACTGTCGTTGTCAACCGTTCTTGTAAAACCTTCATTCTACATAGGTAACTGTATAGTGAATCGTTATTGTTCTTCAACTGCTTCCAATAGAGCCAGACCAAGACAGCTGTGATTTCTCAAATGAGCAATACCCATTTCTCCCAGTGGCTTGGGTCACCTTTTTTAGATTTCGACTGCTCGTATCTTTGAAAAACGAGCACGGCCTTATACACTGTCAATTTCCCTATACCGTTCAGTAAAAAAGAAAAAACTTAAACCTATTGTTATATTGCATATTATTCCAAGTAATGATTTTAGCATTATCATATTTATAGCTCATTTGTAATCTTTTGATTTGACTAGTTGGGCGTCAATCCTCGATAATTCAAAGCCACCTTGCCTTAGGAATAACACCCAAATTGTGACTGCAAACAAAATCAGTTATCTCTCCCATTACTCAATTAACTTAAGTTTCTAGCTGATCTTATTAGTTTATTTCGTTCAAACCCCTAAGCGTCGATCTCGATAGGGTATATATCACATCGCGAAAGCCGAATCAGTGGCTGTTTCGAATAATACTCGCTTTTCAACCAAGCCCTACCGGTGGCGGAGATAGCCTCTGAGTGCTGCGGAGACATCACAACTGTTCGACCAGCGTATCTGTTTACATATGTATGTCCATCTGTATACGTGCGTATGTGTAGACAAGTAAAATGCAAACCGCTGACTTCGTCGGTTTTATGGGACGTCGCAAAGATGCTTATATCTTTCAGGCGAACTTCTTAAGTAAATTTCTCTATTGGCCAGAAGTATATTCTCATGATGCAGTCAGTCTGTCGTCCCTTCATCGAACAAAACATTCAAAAAAAGTTTACAGACCTAATGAAGCCACATACGATCTCGCAACTTGCCGTGCTTCTAGTCTGAACCCCTCCTTCTCAACACCATTTGTAAAAACACGCGTGACGGAACGCTAAACAGCGAGCCTGAGAGTCCTTTCACAGCTTGAAAGCGGCACAGTTTAAGCCGAACGGACAATCACTTGTAGCCAAACTGCCTATTGTTGTGCTGAATAAAGTAGGTGGAGAGACTCATTGCGATCGCCAGCTTAGCGTCGTAAAAGTGTCTGCTCTCAGATCTTAATGAAGCCGTAGCCGCTGAAGCACTTTGAGGACGTCTCCGAGATTTACAACTCGTTCGCGCTGCGTTCTGTTCAAGCAGAAACCAACCTACAATAGACGCACAGTTAGGGAAGCCCGGATATTTCTACAGTACTTCAATACATTCTATCTCTTACCCAAGATTTAAGAATCACGAGGTAGAGGGTATCATGGTTAACAGCCATCTGACAAATATCCAAGATCTGCAAAATTGTTCAGTCAGAGTAATTCACGCTGGAGCAGCTTTGCAGGAATACTGAAAAAATGGTGGCCCGCGAAATGCCACCTTTTAGATTCTACACACAGCTCATTCAACTAAATGTCTTGACTTAAGAAATAAAAAAAAAACGGTAAACAAATCGTGAAGAGTAGGATCATCTACAAAAAGATGAATTAGAAATTCGCTCCAGAGAACAAAGCACGCCTTTGACTAGCCCCTAATAGTACTATTCTCTGCTCATCGCCTTCCTGAGTTAGATAGACTCTTAACAGGCTTAATTCAGTTTCAAAGTTGTACTTTCTGCTACATGTAAAAAGGCATATTAGTGAATAGAGAATGTCAATTGATAAACTGTAGACGTAAATAGCAATAGTTTCTACTAAAAAAAAAAAAAACTAATTTTAATCGTGGATTTAACGTAATTTTACTTAGTGAATTAATCCAATTATTAGTGGCCGACCGGTTGTAGCCGTTAGGAGACACAACAATTGAATTATCTATTAGGCATGTTTTGAATGAGACTTTATGGTTATATTTTTTGGCGAATTCAAACGAACAATTATTAGGCACGCACAGTCTTTTGGATGTCTAAATAACGTGTCTATAGTAATAAATAACAGAAATAAAACAGTGTTTACCTAGCAAGTGCGCTACCATATCAAAAAGATTGCTGGAACTCTGTAGATAAAAAGTAAAACAGACAGAAAAACATATTTTGTTTCGGATGGCGCTTAAAGCCGAAAAAGAGTGTTTTTTCTTTTATGTTGTTCATATAGGCCGAATCTTGAGTAACTTGTTTTCGTCGCTGATGCAGATGAAAGCCGTGTCAAGACCCGTATAAATTTAGTACATATAAAAGCATCTCTAGCCTTGTGATCGAACAACTTTCAAATAGACAAAAGATAACATAACTATAAGAGGAAATCATTTTCCTAAGTATTTGGAGGTTGATCATTTGTCAGCTTCGAACAAAAGCATACCTTTATGAAGTTCTCGTATGCAAACGTTCTTTCTAAACTACGAAGTGTCCGCTATAGGTTCTCAGAACCCATCGTACAGGTTCAACAGGCAGGTAGAAGTAAAGCCTTGAGCTGCTCATGCTACTCCCAGATATCCAGGTCCATCCCACTTTCGTCTTTTTTTTTGCCTTCCAGTAGGCAATGACTTGCATAGCATGATTCCGAATATGCAGCGTAATGTATCAGCCTTGTCTGAATGTAGTTGCGCGGTGTATTTAAGCTCTCAAATGACCTATATACCCTTGTAGGGACCTCATGGTAACCAGTCTAGCAGCTTGCTCAAGTCCGCACCTACAATATCCATATACGTGATTCTCAGCATCGATGCATTTCGAATGTTGATTTATCAGATTAATGTTAAATGTTGCAGTTGAAAATGAGTCTACTTTTTGCAGTTAATCGTATCTTACATCCTTTATTGTACACGTTGGTGTATGAACATCACTTATCTCTTTTCGGAGTTAGTACTTGGCGTTGTGTGTAATTCTAATTGACGTCAATAATATACCTCAACTGAATCAATCTTCGGACGTGAGAGTGGGTCAACGTAAATATGGACCTTAGCAATAACTAGGCTCGTACATTTATTTGTGCTGTTTTCGCCTGCTAGAGCCATTCTTGTTACTTATTGTTAACAGTTTATTGGTTGGCTTACGGATCATACAGCCTTTGTTTCTAGATATCTAGCATCGGCTAATTACCTCAAAACTATTATTAACTGTTATAAATCAATATAACTAACAGAGAAGTATATTCATGCTTTTGATCTCATGAGATCGGCCACCCTGACGCTTCAGACAAATTCGCTTAAATTGTCGAGTAGGAAACAACTGATCGAAACAAAAGCTATATTCTTTCCATTAAGCAATCATGACTTATAGCAGTTCATAAAGCCCAAAATACTGCTCTTAATGGGTGTTCAAGGCGTTCGTCTACAGACCAAGGTGCTCCAACATTCACTTAGCATTATTTATAATTTACTGCGATATATGCAGCGAGATATTCTACGGTTATATTTAAATTAACGATAGGTAGAAAAATTCTGTACCACCCTTCCGTGGCACACACGCCGCTCCTCGTCAACCGCTCAACCGCCCTAGAGAGTCCGTATTTTTCCGATTTCCTATTTCCTATCTAACACGGTCGCAATATTAATTTCTCAAAACTGGCGCCTCTTTCTTTGATTCCTTGTTAGTGTCCCAGTTGCATTTGATATTACACGACGCAAAGAAATGATATACGAAATAAGACAAATAGTAGGTAAATGTAACAAACAGAAGTCGTTGCGGGAATTTTGTCTGCATCTCGGTAGTCAGCTATTGGTCGTTCGGACAGTTTAAGAACGGTATTAAAAGGACACCAAATATAAATACAATTTTTACAATGCGCGAAATAAATATATGCGATTGGCAAAAAGGAAATATAGGTCAACAAGGGAAAAAGTACCCACCGGTGGCATGTGTTGCATTCATCGGAGATTATCATAATTCTGGCATGTCTGCACTGACGCTTATTTCTAGTATGTAGTCATGTCTAGGGGTCCTCTATCTCGTATCCGATCCATTTGAGCTATTCATTACGAAGATTTTAAATGTTTTCCATTAGATAAAACACGCACATATTGGGCAGTGCGTTATAATATATATGTCTGTGCAGGTCCGCGCCAGACTTTCCCTAAATTATGTGATTTAATAATGCTAAATGAATGTTGCAATAAACACTTTCGACAGTGGGCGACTACTTCAAGCCTGCTTTGAAAACCATATTTCTTAAATGCTATCACTTGCCTTTTCTTTATGAAGTATTTTTATTACTTAAATTGTTCTATAGACTTGCTTTTCATTATAACCAAGTACGTTCTACAATATCGTTCACATAAATATGTCTAAAACAACAAAAAAATAAAATAATTTTAAAAAATTAACAAAGCAGTTGAATGCTTACGGCAGACTTCAGGTTGAGCTACACACAACGAACTTGAAAGATCTGAAATAAAACTACGATGCAAAAATACGAAGCGGAGTGCAGTAGTTTTCTCATAACTGATGTGAAAAGAACCACTTAATATGATTTTATATTAACTTTGCGAGTGGATCGAGGTTGCATTGCGGGTGATTAGTTTGTTTCAACTATTATTTAAATTAGTTTGTGAAACTGATTTTGGTATCAGCCTTCGCCTTCTAAGCGACTTCCAAGATTTAATAATTAGGTAAGTAAAGATTTTTAAGTTATATTAGCTATAAGAGCTAGTGTAATTGACGTGTCGATTTCTATTTCTTTTATGTAAAATAAATAATCACCTTAACATAAAATTATTTTCATTTTAACTCAATGCAATAGCCTTTTTTTCTATGGCATATAGCGGTTTATCTATGCTGTGTGAATACAATTTGCTTCCTAATAAAACGTACGACTTGCGTTACCGTACCTAGTTTTCATAGATTTAATTTGATCTGGGCCCGTATCTAGTTCAACAAAACATTATGCGTTCCTATTTGTTTGTTTGCTCTTGAAATGGAAATAAATCAACTGACAAACCAAGTTGCTTTAGCTTCAGCGAGCGTGTCCATTGCAAGCGAGTGGACCCGCTATAGAAGCAAGAAATAATTCAAGATCACGAAAAATGTCTATATAATCGAATTGCAACCCAGTCGAGGATCGCTGAAAAGGTTTACACTTGAGTATCACCATGATAACCTTAATAATTAAAATTAATTTCTTAAACCATGTGATCAAAACAAAGTGTGAACACAAGTAACAAGTAATGGGCCCTTATTGTAACTGGAACACGTTTTCAAGCAATTGGCTTTATCGGACACTTTGGCAATCTTACGACCGCTTCGTTCACATAGGTAGAGCATCTTGATGCAAGATGTAGCAGCCTGCACCTGTAGATATCTGTCTACATACGATAACTGGCTATGTCAAACCCAATAGCACTTTCGCACTTCATTATACATCTCCGTTGTAGGCTAGTCCACGTATCGAACATTGGATACTTGTTCCATTTCTACGTCATCCTTGTAATTGAAACCCCTTACTAGATCTTGATCATGTAGTTAACTCTTCACAAAAGATCAACTTCGGTTTGGCTTATCAAATTTATAAATGATTATGAAGCCTCGACTCTCAAAGACGGTACTCGGCGTCAACATGGTCCAAGTATTCCATGCCGATGTTCAGCAATGTTATCGAGCTTGACATGGCAAAGCATGACCGCGCGATTCCATTCGATGGAATCAAATCCTTCATAAAGGCCCACAGCAACACTGAGCCAAGATTGAAGAGTACGCTGTTGTAGATTGTGTACACGGTGCGCTGAGATAGAGCCAGTCTTGACAGATGTCGCCGATAAAAGATGTATAGTCCAACTCCTAAGTGCGAATTGAGCAGGAAGAAGTTATTCGTGCTGAACGATGTAAATGGGACAAATCTGAAATGAAGTTAACAACGTACTTAGAAGTGATATCTTCTGTGTTATGGTTCCGCAAAGCCAATATGAGAGGACCGCATAAACACATAGTCTTTTCATAGACTATATATCGTAAACACTCGAATTTCCATTGCTAAAACATGAGTGAGTTAATTTATAACGCTTAGACTGAATACATTCCTATTATTTTGCATTATTCGCCCGTAGAGTAAGGGCCTAAAATGAGAGCGAGAATACATTTGCAAAAAGTTCAAGTTTGTTAATGAGCTTTGCTCCAGTTGTCATTCTTTGACAAGAGTTGTTCATCCAAAAAACTTAATGCCCATATGGGCAAGAAGTTTTATTCGTAGTTTTGTGTCTAGATGGTTTTCATCGACATTTCCAACCAAATCTATTTTTCAGATTTCAGTGAGCGATGCTAAATTTTAGAAGGTATTATTGTTAATAACTTAGGTAAGCGAAGTGTGCGCAGAGAGTCACACTTTGTCGGGTGATTTGCGAAAGAATAATGCTTGTTCTCTGTTATTAAATTCTGTCGGAGGAAACTGTTAAAAACGCTTGGGAACACGTATATTTGTATTTCCACATTCTATTCTAAATAATATAGTAGTCTCATTCCGACATCTGAATTGTCATTTAGCTTATAATATTTTATCGAAACTCTTATATATTTGTGAATAATGTGAGTTTAGTGTGATCGCGCGACACTCAGACTCGAAGATGATAGCAAATATTTGATGATAACTAGGGCTTTGAATAAAATTTCGGGACGTCCCCGTTACTTATCACTCCCAGGGTGATTTGAGACAATACGTAAAGTATATTTACGTAAGATTTGCATTTTATCTGCGACTCAAAATATTCCACGAAGTAAGAAAGCCGTGCAACGATTAAAAGCAAAATTTGCCCAGGTATGGCCATTTGAAGGTTCTAAATACATTTTTTCACATACATATTTATTGGTCAAATCAAGGAAGATTCTGTATAGTTTATCAATTAGAAATACATAAAAGCAAATTTAAGAAGATCAATGGAATATGCATTTTGAGTGTTGCTAGATGAATGCCATTGTGAACGTTGCCGGAGGCTAATGGCCTTTTTTTTCCATCATTTCGATAGGAACCGTACTAAAATAATGACAACAGCAGATATATACAGAGACATAGTTAGTCTGAAAGTTGTTACCCGGACACCTTGACTTGAAATGGACTGAATGAAAGCTAATTTGATAATTACATTTCTCATATTACGGAATGAAAAAAGTATGTGTATGGATACTCAAACGATATGCAAAGCATTTCTGATAGCAAACAGATCCTGCTGCGGATTAGTGACACACCTATTGAAGAGTTGCGGCACGAATACATTCACCGAAAAAGCGCAATAGCTCACTGCTCCGGCAAGCGGCAGGTAAAATCGCGTGAGGGACGCCATCGAATACGGTGGTAGCGAATGATACCACGCCCTCAACCGAGCAACGACAAAATTATCGCTTTCCTTTCCTGAAGGGCAGTTGGCTTCGTGGCCGAGCACGGGCATCTTGCAACCTGTAAATCACTTTCAATTTGTTAGAAATGCGTAATCTATTCTAATCTCTATCGAGCACAGATATCTGTTAGAATCATTGAAGCCCCACCCTGAAAAACACAAGGGACGAACGCTACGCAAACACTACAAGATAAGAATGGTGACGAACAATCAGACGCATGGCTGGCGGAACAGGCGGCTATCTCAGCCAATAAAGACAACTAACCAGCATACTGCCACGCTAGCTTAAATCCTTGCGTTGGCCAAAATTATCAAGGATTTTAATATTCAGAAAAATAAGAAACGAGAAAAAAATACTGTTATTAAGGTTACTAGTTGCTTGTATGGTTACCATTTCGTTCTATGTCTGTTAGAGAAATCCCAGATAACTCCCGACAAGTTAGACTCCTCATGGTGGCATGAATGAAACAGATGATTCTAAGGATTTGTTTATACAGGGTTAATGACTAATAGTGCTAAAGAACATGGATTTCCATGGCCTTTGTTACTCTGAGATGCCCGGATTCAATGAATGCAGCCCGTTATATCGTGTTGTTCAAAAGACTCAACGGCCGTTGGCACGGCAATCAAAAGCACGCAGTCTGATTATTTGACGTTAACGTGAGACCCTGTTGTCGTGTTTCAATCGCTTTTTGCATTGAGCAAAAATGTGTCCAACGCTGGTTTCAGCCCGCTTATTCTTCCCATCCAAATCCGTGTATTATGGGGTTTTTGACGTTATAGAAAGAGTAATTGCTATACAAACATATCACAGTACCGATTTACTCGGCGAAACCATAAATAAGAAAAATATACAAGAAAATTCTAATGGTAAATATATGGCTGTCATTAGCTATCGGAGCGCTAGAACAAATGTGTTAAAAAATAAAAGAGAGCTTTTAGCACATTAAAAATTATCACGTTAATCCAACTAGTTCGATATTGATTCAATTTCAAAGTTTGCCGGCAACAGCGTAATATCTATCCACGAAACGAAAAAAAAAATAATAATCTATCATAAAGTAAAAATTACTAAAGAAATCACTTTATTTGTTTATCAACCACAGCTGCTGTGGATATTTAAATATACCATTAGTTTTTCTCAACGAATAAATGAGCTCCACCGATTTGAAAAGTGCTAATAGTCAAAATAATAACGACATATTTTTAGCTGTAAATTTACGTGAAATATAATATCGGAACAGTGAAAAACAAAACAACTCAGTCATCCACCTAAATTTAGATAAAATCCTTTCAAAATGTATAGCCACTTTTTCTCATAAATGCCTTCTCTGACATTGGCATAAATTAATAATCAGCTTAAAATATTTAGCATACATAATGGACCAGAATATGGCTATCGACTTGAATGTATCGTGCTTGGATGCAACGTGATTATTTTTTCCCTTTTTGCCACCCCTGTAACTAGTAGATTAGTAGCTTACCGGTTTCTGTATTTATCTTTACAGCGTGCCCTCTACGTTGTACTGTTGATGGGGCTAATAACAAAAGCCTTCCTGGTAGAACGCTCACAAGACAAAAATCTCGTCGACTTTTGGTGTCAGCTGTCAACAAAGTTCCGCCATTTTATTTGTTTATCAACAGAAATTCAGGCGGACGTCTGTATCGTTGAACTACCGGCACCTTCGAAACGCTGTTTAACAGGATTGTTTCTTCGTGTAGCTTTTGTAAAATAGTGTTTTGCCTTAGCATATGCATAATGTCTGGAATTCCTGAAGCATTCTGGCAACCTCCTTTTGTCGTGCTGGAGACAACGTGAGACTTTAATGTTAACAACCTCTTATACTGAATCAGGTGTTCGCAAAATAACTATGCGATGATTGAGAAATTTCCTTTCTATAATTTCATAATAATAAATATTTCGATCGCCGAAGGTGCATATTCATCATATATTGTTTAATTATTGTCGTACACTAATGAATGAGATATGGGTACTGCGGGTAAACGCGATTACTGCTTGTACGCTCATTTTATTTATGGGCGCTGATTGCTTCCTCATGGATTCATCAGTGCGGCTTAATCTCGAAAATGGTGGCAGTAGAAACATTTACGGCTGCGTGTTTTCTATGGCAAGTTTTGTGCCCAGATAGCTTTCATATTTTAGATATTCAGCCTTTTAATACACGGATATACTTTTGTGCCATCTGTTTGCTTTTCCGTGTTTTATTTAGAATGGGAGAAATCGTTGTAGAGCTATACTGGCAACACTCACCAAATACGTGCCGGAACTTCGCAGAATTGGCTCGCAGAAAATACTACGATGGAGTGAAGTTTCATCGAATCATTCCAGACTTTATGATTCAGGGTGGAGACCCCACTGGAACCGGACGCGGCGGAGCTAGCATATATGGCAGGACGTTCAAGGATGAAATACATCCTGAGTTGTTTCACACCGGTACGCATTATAATTACAGGTAACGAATGAATTAAGCCAGCAAAAAACAATCTGAACATTTGAATACTGACAAGTTGTTAGCAACAGTAGAGAAAAACAAATGTTCATTAGGGAAATACACGGTAATTAAAAAGACAAAGGTCACTTTTGTATCCTGTTGTATTTTTTTAGATTCGGTAAATAGGTATAAAAATTAGGACATTTTTGTTAGCATTTTGTGCTGTTAATTAAAAGTAATATTTACCCATTTAAAAAATGCGGATTGTGCCATTCTAACGACGTACTGTTCCAAGTAAAAAGGTCACTAAACATAAGCATGTTTTAGCTCAACACATTATGTGCAGTTATTATACATGGTTTCGTCCTCCCTTCTCCATACTCATTTGAGGCTGTTTTCTATATTGTATTGCTTATGTTCGTCGGAACTGTTCGGAATACGCTCGTCTGTGCGGACGCGTTCTGGTATTAACAATGCTTTCTCTTTGTGCACTAAGCCGCAAATATTGGCTTAAAACTTGCGAGACACATCCAGAAATCTGACTGATGTTACTGCGCAATTATTCTAGCCAAACAGATGCCGATGAATGGCATTTCCAAATGGTACTTTAATCAAAATCTGTGGCTCTTTGTAACTGGAAAAGATTTGCAAAGACATTTATATATATATTTGAGAAAAATTCCAATTCATGTTGCCCTATGAAACAAACAAATATATTTGTCATTCTTTTTTCGGTATAAGATCATCCAGCTACGTTATAGTGTCGCCTTTGAAAAGCTATTATAATAACAACAGACCTTTGCTTTTTACTAGCTAAACGTAAAACATTGTAATTCCAGTCAAAATGCCATTAGAAACTGCTATTCAGGCACGTTCAGAAAAGTATTTCCTTCACATAATTTAGTAAAAATAATCTAGTCATTTCAGGCACATGTTGAAGTCATATCTCATGTAACATGTTAAGCCAACATTTTGTACTTGGTGCATATTACCGTCCACAAAGGTAAAGCTTGTTCCAACACTAAATTTAAGCCGCGCAAAAAAATGAAACAGAAGTGTGCTATATTTAGTCGTAGATTACCTTTCTGGTTCAAGATTTAATGGTTCTTAAAAATATAAAAAGCTAATATACAGTAAAGGAAAAGTAAGTTTAGAACGTGACCGGTATCGTACAAATTAGCGAGCGATTATTAGCTATCTCCTACTGAGAAAGTGTACCGCTTCACTTTTTGTGCTAAGGTATATATTGGCTTTTATATTCTTGTTTCAATCAAATTTATCCAGTTAGTACTCAAAAGATAGCTATTAGTATCGAATCATCTAACACAGATTTTGAATTAATCATTCTTGATTTGATTGCTTTAAAATAACTACTTTGAAACTTTCCACTATGGTAAGACACACCTATAAGAAGCTACTACTGCTCTTTTAGTTGCTGCTATCCACATAGTAGATTACTTTTTGACAGAATTGAGTATCTTGATAGGATTCAAGAGGTGAGCAATACCGTAGCAAGCCTATTTGGTAATATTAAAATGACTACTAGAAATAGAAATTATTAACCTCAATGCATGCATGATGCCGATAATAAAAGAGTAACATTTGCTTTCCAATTATATTTAACCAATAAAGGCCATCTTAGTAAAAAGAATTTTCGCCAGCAAAATTGAATGGGCAAGGGCCAAAATGAGTTTCATATACGGGATTCTTCATTTATTTTTATTTAAAATTTGTTGGGTTGGGTGGCTACAGAGCTCAACTAACAGGTTTCTAAACTTTATCAAATATTGCCGACTGTCGTAGTTGAATAGGCGCACATAGCAATATCAGAATGTGTTGGCCACGTAGCTTTAAAAATATTCCGAGATACAGGCGCGAGAGTAATCTTCATCAAATTCAACACCCAGAATATGTTCTGGTTATCGATCGCTATTTCGCGCGGTTAACTAATCGAATGACTAATCGACTTCTGTGAAGATACTGGCTCACAGCGAGATCGTGGTACATTTTATATAACTTAGACTTGTTTCAATTGTTTGGCAGCTGCATATAGCTTTGAGTAATGCCAAATAAAAAGCCACTAGTTTTAACATTTCGTATATAACATTTTGTTTAAATATAAATGAGTCGTTTTGTTCTGGATTGATAATTATCTATTTAATCGTTCTGACGCAAGTTATCCCCTTCAGAGAGAAATTTCTGCATGATTCTAAACACTTATAAGATTGTTCCTTCTAGCCTTCAAAATCATTTTAAAATTCGATTGCCGGGATTACTCCTCGGTTCGGTCACCGATTTTCATTTTATCTTTTTGACCACGTTGAGGCGTTTACCCTTTTGACATTTCTGTGATTTTAAAAAATAAGAAAAAGGTCCGGCGAATACGGCGGGTGAACGTAACATACGTATCGCATTTTTATAAAAACTGCTGTACGATTAGTGAAGTGTGAGCCGGTGCATGGCCAGGATAGAAGAGCCAGAGATTGTTGTGCCACGGTTCTGGTTTCTTCCGTCGAACAGACTTGCGCACTCTTATTGATACCTGCTGACAGTACTTCTTTGTGGTCATGGAACCAGATAGTATGAACTTATAATGAATGATTTTCCGACGGTCGAAAAAGACTGTGAGGAGTACCCTGGTTTTAGACCTATATCGTGCGGTCAGGTTTTTGGACTGATACTCAAAAGATTGCATCCCAGTCTCCTCATCGTAACCATACATTTAAGTTTGATTACACAGAAGAACGTGCTCAGGTTTATTTGAGCCTTTTTGAAGCGACAAGCAGTTTTCCTAGTAGTTCCTCATGGGCGTTCATCTTTTAAACACTCAGCTGTTCTGCCACAAGCTCTGCCACAAGTTTTCTGACATCTTAGTGGTTCGTCAAAATGATTCGACACGAATTTATTAAGATTCGCTTCTTTTGTTAGCCTTCTTATGACAACTTTACAGTCAGCAAGCAGAAACTGTGTTACCTTTTCTACGTTCTCGTTCGCGATGGCTGTCACAAGCTTTCCAGAATAAGTGTCGTTTTTGATGGATTTCTCTCCATCTATGAAACGCTTGAACTACCTTTTCACTCGAGCTTTAGTGTCTGTTTTCTGTAAGCATTCTGCAACATGCGCGAAGTGTTCGATTTTCGTATTCACACAGAACTAATGTACGGTCGTTGTTCTTCTGAGAAAAAATTGCAAAATATTCAACACGTCAACTTAATTCAATCTCACCGTAAAATCTGAGACTGCGTTTTATTGTTAACCAATTTCAACAGTGTATAACAGAAGTTCTGCTCTTTTTGGCAAAGCAAACATAGTTCACAAACAATTATTCAATAACGCGGAAATTAAAGAAAAAACTCTTTTTCTTTTAAATAAAGATTTAATCATAGATCGTTTGCTATAATTAAAAAATTTAGTTTCATGTTAAATGTGAAACACCAATCGGTATAAATTGAAATACTTTCATTATTTGATGTATTACTCTAATTATTTTAATTCAACTAGCCTAAGGGGCATGTTAAACGAAAGAGATTATCCTCGCTATATTCTAACGCATATACTCCTAAAGGTTGCAGTATAATTCTTAGTTCTTATCTAATTCTTATATAATTGTATATTTTTGAAGTGATACCTGCGAACTGACCTTCTCTTAGCTAATGATCATCCATTAAATTTACTCCAAGTTCTGAGATCTGTGAATCCTGTATATAAGTAACAACCAATAGGTCGATTATTACTATAACAATGTCGCACTCTTTGATGACGTTGTATATACAAAAAGAATCAGTCACAAAAATTCTAAACTAATTTCATTCTTTTTCCTAAATTTGTGTACGTTAGGTGCCGGAATTCTCTCGATGGCAAACTCAGGTCCTGACACAAATGGATCCCAATTTTTTATTACATTGGCGCCAACGCAATGGCTAGACGGGAAGCACGCTATCTTCGCGAGGGTGTATTCTGGTATGACTGTTGTAAAACGAATGGGCCAGGTCGCCACCGATAACGACGACAGACCTGTCGATGATGTGAAAATTATGAGAGCTTATATCAAAGGAGAACAAGATGGGTTTCGAGGAATGGCCGATGTCATGTCCTATGTTGCCTAGAGTCATGTAAGATTCACATACATACGAAACATTCATCATAAATCGCTAACGCTCGAAGCCTGTCTGCATTAGTGATACGCTTTCCGCTGTATTCAGAACCACCGAATCGTTGCATTGAAGGGTTATTTTACAACACAAATTGTATTATGAACTTATTACACAACATATTCGTAACAACTCTTGAATGTTCGAGTTTATTAAACATTTGTGCGAAAAATTGATAGAAGGAAATAAATAGGTAACTTGCATTTTTCAAGTAAATTGTACGTTTGTCTTCAAACAAGTATACCGTCGACGTAAGCCCACAATGATTTCTTATTGCATAACCAATAAATCTTAAAAAGTCACTATAATCATAGAAAGGATAGAAATCAATACGGTGGGCAGTAAAATTGTAACCAAATAGGTGCACTTACACAAATTGCACCAAACAGGTTATAGGTACACTTCAAAAACAGCTTCAATGTCCTGTAAAACATACTACTTTGAAACTGTACATAGATATAATAAGTATTGTGTTCTGATAACAAGAATTATCACATATTCTTTCTTGTACAATGAATAAAAGCAAGGGTATTTTTGTAGTTACACATCAATGAAACCTAATTTATTTGCTTAACTTTTTATCTAGTGAATGGACAAGTAATTCGTGTTTGAAAATTTGAAGTTAATGTACACCCATGCACTGAAATGTTGCCTGCATTAGGCAAAATTGGAGACAAAATTTGCTTTCTCAATATTCACAAATAGTCACGGCAACCATCAAACTCATTCAAGTGCTGACTTTCGCGCGTTCAGCTTCTTTTGTCTCCGTTTCATATTCGATTTTTACATTAGTGCGCTCCCGCTTAACTACCCGACCACTTCTCTTAAAACCGACTTTACTTGTATCGTCGTCGCTTGCGTTAATATTTGTACTGCTGCTGCTAGCGCCTTGGTTAAGAATTCCTTCGCCCCAATCTTCGATATCGCCTACTTTTACTCCATCTTCACTACTTCTGTCCACATCGTTTGTATCGTCCTCATCGCTGTCTGAGGGGCCTGCTTCGACGAATCGCACTTTTCCCTAAAGTATTGGATAATATTGATGAAGTTGTAAGTACCTTGCTTCTTGATCCTCACAGCTACACCATATTAATTATTTTACTTCATGCAAAAAGCATGCAGTCATGTTTTAAGAATCAAATGAAGTAGTAAACTAAAACTGAGTATTAAAATAATAATGATGTATCCTATGAACAAAGGGTTACAGCAAAAAAGATCGATATCCACCCAACAAAAGACACTACTGCGCCAAAAAAAACTATCAGATGACACGCAAGTAAGAATTAGAAACATAGACAAAAAGTAAGGACTGACCACATCATCATCGTCGTCGTCGTTGTCGTCTTGTTCCATTTCTTCTTCCGCTTCCTTTTCATCTTCGAGAGCGTTGTCAAACGCCTTTTGTGGGAAGTTGTAAATGTCCTTGTAGGTTCCACTTTTTAGCCTATCGGTACAATTAGCACAGTTACTAACCTGCAGCTCTATATTAGCCTAATTGAAAAAGCTCAGGATCGCTGAATCAGGTTCACCATGTCACTTAAGTCAATTATCAAACGCAAAATGCATATAAAATATGAAAGATTTCATACATCTCATAGAACTTGTTTTTTATCAGCTAAACTTATTTTTTATTTAATTTATTATGCATTTTATTCTTTTAACTTGACTATTAAACACATGTAAAACAAATAAATCACTAAACGCAACGCACTTCCCCAATTTTCAATTGGTTATTATAATGTCGGTTTTCCAGCAAGGACAAGGCTCATATACTTAGTCACTAGCAATAACCCCTAGAAGTCGGTCAATTTTTTATCTTTTTCCCTTTACCGGACTATGTTTGTTTCGTGTTCTCCTTAAGGCTTAATCCCACTATTACTGTAGTAAATAAAGTAGCCGATTGAACTAATCGACTTGTTTGAAGATGTGTCATCTTTAGTGCCAGATATATGCATTTACGCATGGCCAGACCATGGTGAGAAAGAGTATTCGATTAAAGACACCACACACATATATGTATTAGGTTTATAAGAACGTTCCTGCGCTTTTTTTGACTTCTACTTATATGATCCAAAGCACTCTACCTGCTCTGTCAGCACGCTGGAGTTACATAGTGTTAATTTTAACTCAAAAGGACTATTCAATGACGGACATTTCAGGTAGAAAACAGTGCATTTTTACACCTTCTATACTCCGCACTTCACCAAGGCTAGCGCCACTGCCAAAACATGCCGGATATCGGCCTTAAGTAGCAACGGCACTATCGCTAAAACCGTTGCTGAAAAGTGGTTTACCAAGTTTGAAAACTGTATTCAAAATTTACAGGATGCCTGCAGTCTGGTAGTCCGTATAACATTCATCACGACTACCTAAAGGCGCCTTTGAAGAAATATGGGCAAAAAACAACTGAGGAATTTACTGAAAAGGTGGACGGTGTCAGACGACCGTCCCTAATCACCTCAAATCCATTGGGTTTACTCAGAAACTTTCAATTTAGATAACTTATGAACTTCCTATATTTAGCAAGAAGTTACGGTTTAACACTTGCCCAGATTCTTACACAGAATCGTCACTGGCATTGAGAAATAATGTTTGTATATCAATATGAACCAAAGATCACAATGGGTGGCTCCAGGACTGAAGCTGAAGTTATCCTGATGTGGACATGGCTCGCTAACGCACCTACTGATCCAACTGTTTAAGGGCCATGGGAGTTTCGAAGTTTACCGGTACCAAATTAGTAAACGTTCCATTTGCGTAAACTACAATACGGAAAAAAACAGCACCTAGCGTCCTTTAGTGATGAGAAACATAGACGACTGCGGTCAGCACTTAATTTCACTCACAATGCAATCTGCATTGAAACGGATGTCAAGACACGAGCAATCATGAACGAATTCATGAGGTTTGCCAGCCATATGAATCAGATCAAAGAATGGCGTCATAAACGAAGTGGGACGCACGAGCACATTTAACGATTTATTTTTGATGTAATGTATTAACAATCATTCAAAAAAAGTTCTCCGTTGAAAGAGTACTTGACGCGAAAAAACAAAAAAGAGGCAAAGGTCAAGAAGAATCCTAGGATGCAATCAGATCTTGCGTTTAATTGCTTTCTATGAATCTAGTCCAGTTATATCGAATCACCCAAACTATATAACAGAAGAGACCCAACAAATGGGATCAGGGTTACTCCATGGCAGAGGAACTCATGACCCAAACTGCCTTTCTGAACTTCGAATGCGAGGTATATTACGTGGACTTTGCACCGATGTGTCTTCACCCTTCTTTCACTTATTGAAAAGTCGCCTTCATGGCCTTACCTTCGACCTGGGTCAAGAAAAATTGAGTTATTTTTTCCGAAACGAAACCCAGTACCATTTGACGATATGCCATCCATCACTTGGTGGAAGAAAATTATGAATAATGACGGGAAATACATAACATAATAATGTATTGTCACAGGAATATAAAAAGTGATATTTTTATCTAATACAAAAATGAGAAAATTTCCTCTCCAATAGATATATATATATATATATATATATATATATATATATATAGGTGTCACGACATAATTACTACCGAAACAGGCGTTTTGTTTTAGCCCCAGCGCAAATAGACCATCGTCTGTTTGTCAAGTACACACATTCTTAATTAGAAAAATAAATATTTGTGCGGAGACAAAGTATTAATAAAATAAGGAATACAATTACCTGTCAAGTAGCTCCCGCTCAATGGCTGTGTCAAGTTTTGCAGCAATGAGGGCCTTCTCTTCCCTGCGTTTCTCCCTTCGTTCGATGCGCTTATTGATTGTTACTACTTTTGTGCGGCGTTTTAAGGCCATACGGCGCATCCGAATCAAGTATCTGTACGAACGACGAGACGTTAATTAGAGTAACTTGTCTATATATATTATCATATTTATACCATTTATCGCTACCGGAAATAGGTAACACTGAAACAAAATAAATGTAAATAGCATCTTACATTGCAATAAATATTGTGGGTTTAAAAATCCGTAAAACAGCAATAATATTAACAGTAAAAAGGATTCGATTGTTGCACCTACTGATGAATTTTGAAAAGCCGTTGGTGACATTTAACCCTTACGAATCGAGGCCAATATAATAAGGTGGTATCGATCTGTTCCCGGGCCTTCTCCATGTTCTTAGAAAGCTTCATTTTTTCCCACATACGTGCGGGAAAAGCGCAGCGCTCCGCTGTTTTCATGTACAAGTAACACACGCCTAGTAACAGCCACGACAACAACACCAAAAAGTACAAAACTGAAGAATAATTTTTCCAAACATACAACTGCAATTATCGTTCCTTCAAGGCCACTGACTAAGCAAGTAGTGATAATGTATATTTACGTGTTAAGTTGTAAAGAAAGTTCCCGGGTTTTTCTTACTGCATAGAAAATAAGTGATTAAGTTATGTATTTCCCGTCATTCTTCACGATTTTTTTCCAGTTTATTTGCCAAACTATATATATGCTGCCCCACTAGAAGGTAACGAACTTCATTCAAGAGTCCCGGCATAAGACCTAGTGCGATATTCTCTAATAATTATGTACATCCCATGTAATCGACTGACTAATTATAGTTTGCATGTATATTTACTGTCATTTGCGGACGCGTGACAGTATAGTTTTCGCTAAAAAAAAGGACGTACCATTTTCTTCTTTGACTGTAGCATACACAGAATTTGCAAGCGGACACGATGAACGATTGCAGAGTCCTGTGAGATTGTATTCATTGCGGCAAAAATTTGAAGACGGCGTGGTTACCTTGTGGGAGCAGAAGGAATGTTTCAGGATGCTCCACACCACCTGCAACAATAAACAGCAGATTAGACAGCCTTTTTAAACAAATAATTTCCTTTTACATCCCGACATACAAACCTTTTGCAAGTGCATTGTGACAATAAGTAATACCTATATGATATTCATATGTGATATTCGGAAACAACAAAGTAAACTACTCACATCGTCACTCTGCATAATGAAATTGTTGTGTGGAACTTTACAGGGAGACGATAAAGCACACTCATTGACTCGCTAAAATACTCATTCGAGCGCATTCGAATCGAATAAACCTTTCATACGCCGTATGTACACGTGCCCCACTGCTTTATCATTTAGCGTAGAGAGTTATAACCATAACAATAATAAACATTGGGAAAGGCAGAAAAACTCAGACACGCTCAACTTTTCCTCATGAGCAGATCAGATTTTTTTCCAACGTATTTACTACGGTACGAAATAATAAGGTGTTTTGTAAGAAAACTGGATTCTGGACTCCAAGAAGGGCAAATATTTCCGATATGCGCGAATTTATTATTTCACACAGTCCAGTTTCCGCTCATTTGGCTACCCTCATTCTTCCGAGGATTAAAGCATAAAAGTTGTCTTTGCCGGATGCTGTCGCCGAATCTTGATTTAGAGAAAGTTGGCGTTGATGTTACAATGTTAGGGAACGTAGTTCAACGAAGTGTGGCTCTTGCCGTTAAAGAGCTTCAGTTGAAAGGACTAAAAAGGATACATATTCAGTTCGATCCGTTTCATCCTTCGACCCGCTCAATTCGGTATTGACACGCGTCATTAATTTGCGCACTTTGTGAAAGACGACTCAAGGCTATTTTAGGAGGAATATCTATTTTTATAATACAAACTACATTTAAAACTCGAATTTACATTTAATGCACCATGTAAAATAATTACAGGCGTTATTGTATATTTTCATCGTGTTGTTTTTCTAATCTCCTACTCTATTTTTTTCGATACCTGGAGCAAAGGCTAGCTGGACGAAGTATTCGGTCGCCACTACTCAACAGTAGATAAACGGTGTTTCTCATAGTGGATATGATATAGTATTTTAACTGCTATATTTCGATGTGAACGCCATCCCTTATCAAAGTCACAAAAAACACGAATGCGTACTATCGCGGAAGAAGCTACCATGTATGGCGTTGGAAATATTCCATATGAGGATTCTGACACTTTAGGACTCTTGCAGGGATTTCGCGTTTATTATCAGTAGCGAAAAGCTTCGGCTTACTAATCCGTCGTGTTCGGTTAAGAATCATATCGTCTGTGACCGTTCTCCGCCTACAATTGACCTCACAGCTAGTAAGTTCTAAAATATATGTGAACTATTTACACTTCATTAAATATTATTGGTTCATGTACTGTGTAAACTCTAATCTGGCATTTTCGTATAGCTTTCGTTATGAAAAGTATATTGGCAAGGATATTGACAGATTTTTCTTTTTAATCTCATCGTTCACCATTAAACTGCCCCGGGCCCCTGGTTAACTGCAATCTATTCTAATTCATTGTAAATACTCTAATGCAACTGGGTAGATAATCGGATCATATCTGAAAGAATGGAACGGGTGTCTCAACTGACCAATCCCACTGTAACCTGTATATTTTTTTATTTTCAGTTATGGTTGATTTTAAGGGCACTTATCTCGGTAGCTTCTCTGCTATATACGTTTCTTCATTAGTATCAACTGTGCCAGTTATTTTGCATACTTTATTTTAAATTTAAGTTAAAAAAAGGGACATTTACTATGAGCTGTTTGTATTGTTTGAGCTTGTTTTATCGTTGTTAAATTCTATCTATATTTCAGTTAACGGGAAAAAATATCGTCTGCTAGCAGAGCATCTTACTGTACTTGAGCTGATTCAACAGCTAGGCGATATTTGCACAAAATACGGTTCTAAGCCGGCAGAGCAGGAATCTAATTAAAAGAAATTAAGAGATTGAAGGTCCAGAGCTGAAGATCATTTTTACTTATAAATTTCATAGTTTTCAAAGCATACCGAAGTAAATCAGTATATTTATTGTGCTCTAGTCGCGCAAAAGTAAATAAGTTGCTGGTTGCACTCGTTCTGCAACATAAAAGTCGCTGTGCAGTCGGTCGAAAAGCATGCATGTAATTGGGCCCAATGAAAATACACAGTAGCATACGTACTAACATGCTGTAATAGTAATTGAATGGTAATTCTACGGCTATGAAATAAAAATTATATTGACTAATTTGCGCGTTCCTTCATGAATGTACAAACACCCGTGTTTTAGACATTAAATCAGTCCTAGCGAAAAAAAAAAGTTACTTAAACCCGTCCCCAACGCATGATTCTATGCTTTTGCATTCTAAGCTTTCTGGTGATTGTTGACGACAAATGTAGAAGCGTTGCACATTAAGAAAATTTTAGAGAAGTTTTGGAAGAAAAAATTCATCAGAAAAGCCTAGATGTAAGCTAAGTCTGTTTATATTTCTGTGTGAGGCAGAAAATACTCTAAAGATCAATGCTGTGATCGATAAAGGAAGATAAATAAATGCTAGCAAGAGTTGGAACATTTGTCATTTGTGTAAATCTTTTGATAAGCAAATCTGAAAATTATAGTATGTGTCGTGGTTACCAACTCTAAATTAAAATTGAACGTATATTAAAATCCAAACGCAAAGTGAATCTATTAAACAAACACTTATAAAAAATATTTACGTAGAACTGCAATCGTTGACGAATACACTGGATTAGTTACTATATGTATATATATATATATATATATAAGAACTCACGTTCAGGGTACTAGCAGTAAAAACTTGCTAGCTGCAATAAATAACAATAAGTAGTCAAAAGGGTTATAAGCACTTCTTTCTAAGATGTAATCAAAATAGGATCTTCTAAACAAAATGTAGAGATCCCATGCAATAACTCTTTGCGCTTTATTTCCTCTGAAGAAAAGCTGGTAAGATAATAGTAACAATTCTCTTCCAGAGTGGCTATAAGCCCGCGCGAGCCTTCATATTCGAGAGGATTAAATTGATAAAGTTGAAAACATTGTTTTATGTGTATAAGCCTATAAGTATAGAAATAGGCATTTTCTTACTGCGGAAAGTTTTGATGTTATTACATGATTATAGTTTACGGAAGCATTTATCCTTCCTACCATTCTAGGCGTTTACAGAGCACATAGAAGATCAACCATTGTAAGCTCCCTGCACACCATAATCAGAACTGCAAATATATGTAAATATATTGTATAACATATTTGCCTATTGGGTAACGTATTTTGCCTGCTAATCTTAGGGACACCCTGTGGGTTTAGGTTTGAACACAGACGTCAACAGATATTTTAAAATCAATCCAATAATACGTTTAGTTTTTAAATAAATCTAACTTAACTACATTTGTTACATGGTGGTAAATAAGGCTTTTCCCCTTGTTCCGTTCTGATCAATACTGCAAAAGACCAAAAATCCTTCACTCAGTCGCGTTACTTTAGACTGCTTTTCCGGGTGTGTCTGCCACGATGATGGCGATGATTTCTGATCTTGGTAGCTACAATTACGCGGAAGAAGATCCAATGAGTAACCTACATTTACTTCGTCCTCCATCTGAATCCCTCTTAGACGATTGGAATAGTAATTCCTAAGGATGAAGTTAATAGTAACAAAGAGCGATTTGATTGTAAAGGCTAAGCGTACTCACAAACTGCCTTTTATAGCGCTGGTAAGTACAGTTCTTCATTTAGTTGTGGTTGTGGCAGTGATCTTTGTGGTCATACAGCCCAGTATAGAGCAGCAGACGCCTCCATATGGAACTTACAAGGAACGGCAAGCGGCTACCTATTAGTGAATCGACCGTAAAGCCAACAACCGGCCACATAACGAACTGCATATATAGCCAACAGACAAATACAAGGGCAGACGGAGCGCTCCCTTTAGAGCGACCGACAGGAACAAACTGAAAGCTCAACAGACGACGGCTATTTGTAACATCACAACCAGCCGCAGTAGCAGCAGCGAACGATCGGCAGCGCTCGAGTTGTAGCGACTACGGGCTACTGCTGCAGCCGCTGCTCCTGCTTCTGCTCTTAACGGTAGCGGCCGCGGCGGCGGCAGCAGCAGCAGCAGCGGCAGCGGAGACAGACAGGCAGACTGGTTACCCAACCAATGAAGCGGGCGACGGGCCGACCAGCCACTCAGGCAAACGATTCTTCACTATCTAGCACCACTTGCTAGTACCAAAGACGAGTAGCGTCACGAAAATACGCAGACGTGTGTCAGTTCATCTGACTATTTAGCTGAAGGATAGTGTTTTCCAGCGTGTGCCGCGACACTGGCAATGGTTGTATTACAGCTGTACAACGGTACAGCAGGAACGCGATGGTACACAACGGCAGGGCTGTAGTGTCCTTACGAATAGCAGGAGTGTTAAAAACCAGAAGCAGAAAAGAGCTAATGGAGCCCAGGTTATGGTGTTGAGATCCTTCTTTACGGTCGATACATGGCATTTCCGAGGCATTGTCGAGTTAATCAAAGTACTCATCGCCGATGTATATATAAAGCCTAGAGCCCAGGAGGAGAGGCAGTGGTACGGACAGAGGTGCTGCTTGTCGGAGTGAAGGATACTGTGTCGATAATTATCTGCTGCTGGTATTGTTAGGGCCAAGAGGTTCATAGACTTACAAAAGAAGCTAAACTTCCAATAGCAGCTCTAGTACTGCAATAACGTTAGCAGCTGGGACCGGGAATGTGCACGACGACGGACATGCGGCAGGAACACGGAATGGTGGGCGATGGTTGATATCACTGATTCTTGTTGCTGTTATTGTTTGGTCGCTTGTTGCGGTAGTAGCAGCAGCAGCAATTGCAAGCGTACGAGAAGATGATGTCGCTGCTGTAACCGATTACCTAGCTCATTACAAGAAACACTGCACCAATCTATTTGCCTGACACGGTCAACCTTCCCCCAGCATTTCGTACTGCTTCTACTGCTACGTCTAGGCAATAAACACAAACTACATTAAAGCAGTCGCAGCAAAGTAAATAACAGCGATACACATAGAAATGAAACGAGAGAAACCGGAAAAATGCAGCGGACAGGGTGAACGTGACGACAACAACGAGGGGATGTTTGTGTGTGATTGACAGGAAGGGTGCCAGGAGTGACTGTCGGTTGTTGTCACGCTTCCTCTTTTATAATGCAACCGTAATACTGAAGCCAGAGAAAGAAAACTAATTCAATTTGAGCAAATTAGAGTACTGAGCGCTCTTTATTGTCAGCAGCACGACTACTCCCAAGTAGCTGTTTCGCGCCATTTGCTCATGAAACCTACAAAATGGGAAGAGGGTTGAAGGACGGCATTCATTGAATTCTATACATAATTAATACGATATCAGTCATGATACTGTCATCATCATCGTCATAGACAACAACAGTATGAATAGTACAATAGTTGTCGTCGGTGGTATTGGTCTCCGGAAAGCGCAGTATGTCAGTAGTGGCTAATCGTTGCAAAAACGTTAAGAACAGCTATAGAAGTTATGTCGATGGCAGTTGAAGCGTGGATAACTTCAATGATAACTTTTGATGAGTTGTTGCTGGCTCTGCGGATGGGTGTCAGTGCATGGCAATGGATGAACTACAGTTAACGGGCACCTGCAGTAGCTGGGGCCGGAGTGGAATATCAGTGCGACAAGAGTGCTGCAGTAGCTGTGCTGACATCTACAACAATTACAGTCATTATATTATAACTACTGATATTTTTAACAACAACAAGACACGTAATCAATTTCATATAAGTACTCAGAGTAAGGCGAGTATAACAAACCGAGTGACCTCGATATCGTCGTCAGAGCAACGTTTACCGTCGCCTGTGCTGGCGTCGTCATCTTCATTGAATGCCGCTGCTGATGGCGGTTGTGTCGTGAAGTTTTCTACTACTGCTACACAAAGCTCTATTGGAAGGGGTATTGATCATTCTGCAATCAGTTCTTTAGCTTGTTCTAATTTAGCTATTGCTGATTGCACGTGGCCATTGCGGTCGTTGAATTTTATCATACTGGCGTATTATTATCAGTAGACGTCGTCGCTGGCCTAAGTGCAGTTGGCCAGCTGCAGCAACGGCGGCCGTAGTAGCCCCTTTAGCAGCAGCAGCAGCAGCAGCACGCCCTCCCGCCGCTTCTTCCGTCGACTGCGATGCGGGGGCCGGTTGGTTGTTGCTTTGACTGCTGGCCGCTTATTGGTCTCGTCTGGGGGGTGGCCGTTCACCTCGTTGTCGTTAGTGCCGTCACCACATTAACCACAGCAACCTTATTGGGTGGTAGTACAGGCGCCTCGACGCCGTCACCGAGGAGAAGCGCCTTATCGAAAAGCGCCACTGTACTGCTCCTAGTCGCCGCTACCGTCGGAACCCCTCAGGCCGCCAGAGCGGCCTCGGCCTTCCAGCCAACGTTGATCAGCGTGTCCGAGCAACCTCTGTCAACGCCACCTGTAAGTTGTGGAGTTTGTGCGTACGGCCGCTGCGAGGCCGGTAAATGCGTCTGCAATCCTGGATTCACTGGGGAGGATTGCACCCGGTGTTCGGGAAGGATCAGGTAGGATCAAGACAGACGTCAATTGACAAACAACTAAGTAAATCGACACAGCACATAGCTAGCACACTTGATAAAGAGCACATATGTGACGGATAATGTAGGAATTTGTTCTCAGCATTGTGGAAAAAAGTCGTGACGGCGGTAAAAAGATTATGTTTAGCTATTTGCTATTTCTGCGACGGAATAATTCGTAGATGTTTATGCGCACGTTTCTTTAACAGATGACACTCGAGATGCGTGAGCAAAGCCTCTTCCTGAGAGAAACAGTTGCTTAACTATTGAACAGACGCCTCCGTATTTACTGGGAATTACCCAAGGTAGACTAACCTAGGTATGCCTGCACCTTGAGCCAACAGGCAAACGGTGAGCAATGGACGAACAAGCAAACCAGGCTTCGTTTCTAACATGAACACAACGAAGCACCGGTAGTGGCAGAAAAATCACTAACAAGAAGCTCTACGTATTTTGATATTGTAAAAGACACTTGTCTCCCCACTTTCAGACATCAAAATAAATCGAGGTTGTTGGTACAACTGGAAGCTTGGCGTTTGCTTCTCAAGTCGATTGTGCAAAACAACTACGTCCTCTAAGACAGTCTTTAGTCCGGATGAAAATCTTGAAACAGAACATCGAAGTAGGTCAGTCAGTGATCTGAACAAAGGCGCCATATTTTCTAATCAGCGAAGACGCAGGTCATAACGCAGATGTATACTTGAGCAATGTATGTGCCTGTAAATGTTTTAATCACTTGACTATAAGAATTTGGATTATCCTTCTAAGCGTGACGCCATATTTCAGCCTAATACATCGGCTATGCTACTTCAAGCGCTAGTAATCTGCTGACACATGATTTTCTCGTACAAGATCGATGCACCCGAGGCATGGCGCACGCAAGCGACTAAATGAACGACATCAATATTTGTCATAGCGCTTCATGTAAGTAGCACAAAAAGCTGCTAGATTGGACACGGCCATGACAATCATTAAATAACATAACGCGTTGGTCATCTGTACAGGTGTGAGAAATCAGCATTTCACTGATCGAGCCATTCTTAGTCAACATACAAGAGAGTAATATTATGCTGCATCATTCGAAACCTCTTGTTTTTGTTCTAATTAAATCGTCTTGTCTTAAATGCATTTGGAACTCTGCTCCGTTGTCAATGGGCACTGTCGAACGTCAATCTCGTATTGTGTAGCCTCACTGGGAACACTGCTCGTGCTCCCCTTGGAGATTGAGGCTACAACTAATCATCAATTCGAGCAGTTATTATCGCCTATGTATCTGCCTAAAAATCACGGTGGAACTAGTTTCGGTTAACTGACATTAGCACGAAGAAAAATGTGTTGCTGCGATTACAAACTTTGTATGATTCAGCACTGAAATAGAAACATTGTTAAGATAAGAACGTAGACGAGCCGACGCCTGCTTCGCAATGTATCATCTACTGCGAAACTATAGACAGTCGAAATCTTCATTTTTCCGTCGTTTAGTAATTAAAATAGGAAAATCAATCAGCCATAGTACTTGAACGTAATACATCATTGCTGTTATCGAATATTCGCAACACTTTTAAGTGTAGAAATCACGCTGGGCTAAGCACGAACACAAGTGATCGCCCGTTCTTTTTTTCATGCTTCAAAATACTGAACGTACACAGCAGCGGCGGCGGCGGCTGAAAGCCTCATTGAGATTTGCTATGCAGTGCAGAATGCTGTTGCCTTCTCGTGATCGTGAGCGCTGCCTTCGGCACGACCATCTGGAAGCAGCCGACAATAAATACCAGATATCAGTAACTTCTGTTTGTTTGGCGGGTTAATAAGTTTGGACTAAACACTAATACGTCGTAGTTTGTCAGTCGCCTATTAAGAGCAGCAACCGCTTGTGTAAACGATTGGGCTGTGAAAGTTTTCAGTCCACGACCTAACTCTTGAAAGAGGATCGAAACACAGTTATTGCCTGGCCCCTCGTCGTAACCCTAATACGCGGATTCTACGAAAGCGGTGTTGTTTGTTAAAGAAAATCTTCAAACGAATTTGTCGTTCAAGTTACCTGTGACAGGTTTGAAAGGAACGACGAAGAAAACTATTGAATAAAATCTCTATAGTTTAACTCGACCATTCCCGTATAATTGGCTGCGCTAACCGAGATTCGCCGTAAATGAGAGCAATAGATTTGAATGCTTTGAAGCCGAGACGGACAACGAAACGGCAGATTATCCATTTGCCGTTCAATGGCCAACATGAGCGCGCAAAGGCACATCATTTGTTACTATGATCATATGAACGAAAAAAACAACGGCGAACGTATTATTGCTATGTGTTACAGTTCAATTGGCAGAAGCATTGCCAGGGCGAGTGAGTCGTTGCAATTTCAGCTGAGTTAGAAACAACGATATAAATACGAGCCTTTTATTATCATCAGGTGCCAGATATTGGGTGCGCCGTGGTAGTGCTGTTGCTGCTGCTGCTTAGCAGCACCTAACGTTGTTTGGAGCACGCTAATGGTAAACTGTGACAACGTGCACATAACAAGAGACCCTGCCATATGTTAATGTTACATAATGGTGAAGACAGGCATTGTTGTCGTGAATAGAAGGCAGAGAATAAACATGGAAGTTTGTAAAGACTCTAAATGATTTGCTGTGACTAAAATAAATCGAACCGCTCTCATTAGGCTCACGCTGAAGCAAAATGGTAATGGAGGCCTTATATTAGAGCCTTAATACGTTCGATAAATGCATGTGTACCTTTGACGATTAGCTCTATCTACACTAGGCAAACGTACGCTTAATACGAAGAGCTTCAATAGTGGCGCTGAAGTAAAATATCGTTATCCAAGGTCACGCTATATTCCCCATCGGCTATGAAGCTTACCTTTTTTAGTGAAAGACCGCGGCTATGTAGCCGAACAACGGCGATTTAATATGGAAAAATTTCATTTTCACGACGAGGCCAAACGGTAGGTCAACGACTACAGGAGGCAGCATCGGTCTTTTGCATTTGTAGCTGTTGGCAAGCGCGATTTAATCTCATACGGAATTATTCGTTCGTGGCATGAGTCGCCGCTGACTGGTCATAGCGAACGAGCAAATAAAGACAACTCTTCTAAGTTCAAATTTGCGGCTAGCATTTACTTGTCGTGTATTGTTACGGGCTAGTCGATGCCCATAAATGTGTCCGCCATCATGGGCACCTGATAATGAAATGTTAGTAGGCTAATGAAGCGCATATATATAATCACGTCCTTGCATTTACATTCTAATGGTAGCCTTTGAATGACACGTTGGGTTGCAGAAGTGCCACTTCTGCTGTGGGCGCGAGCCTACAATAAAACCGTTGCTGCTATCCCGAGGCTAGCATTGCTTATTCAACAGCTGTTATTGTACAAAGGTCGAAGGGCCTTGTTTGTGCTTTCAAATAACTGCTAAATATTTCGAGCATCGCCATTATGTATACTATGGGACAGCTGGCTGACAGCATAAAATCGAGTGTGTCTCTGCCCGGATTCGAACCTCGACCACCATATGTCTCGAAGATCAGTACACTACTCACTAGACTGTCACAAAGACAATACGTAATCTGCCAAAACGTACAATCACAAAACCTGCCATTTTAGTCAAATTGTTTGTTTACTATTTTGGAATATTCTGTTTAGAAGTATGTCACCTTATAGTACCTGGTAGTTACTATGTAGTTCATTAGAAGTGATAAAACTATGTCAAACCTCTGTCGAATGTTATTTATATATGGACTTCGAACGGGACCATTTCTGCAAGATCCGATTATTTATATACTTGAAACGTCAAAACGGACACCTAGAGTTTCATTCAAATTTACATATTTATCGAACAATGAATTGCTTTGTCGCAACTGGCCTTATTCTTCATGGGTTCCTGAAGGTCTTAGCCAACTTAATGTACATGATATGGATGTCAGCTCAGGACACTCGAGAATCTAGAGAAGTCGCAATCCAAAAGTAATGAGATCCCGAACGGACTTCCGTCAGACTTTCTTAATAGGCTTAATTTGTATCCTCCTCTCACATATTTCTGGATCATCTGTTTAAAAATGTTCAAGTGCAAGATACATATCAAAAAGTATTCCGGTATTTAAGAAAGAATTGATTTTCGAGCCCACCAGCAAAGAGTCAGTTTACTTAACTATAGCAGCACGCAAAGCTACCTCTAGGAAGCATCGTTTATGCGGCCACCTACGAGGACGCTAGCGAGCAAGGATTACTATCTAATGATCGGTTCGCCTACAGTCCGGCACGAAGCATCGATCTGTAGCTAATGGATATACAATTCAAATGGGCAAAATTTATCCACATGTCTCTGTTTTGACTGATAATCTCATCCACCGACATTGGCAAAACGCATCTTTCACATCTGTAGACGCAAATGCTCCCCACCTTCGTGGGGCGCCTGCTTGATCCCGTTGCTGCAGTTAAACTGTCAATTCTTCTCTTACTCCTGCTTAAAAAAGATAAATGGCAACACAATCTATCATTATGATTATTTCTACTATTATGATAGAATGAACAGTATATACTAGAGTGCCACCCGGGGGCATAATGAAGTTACTGGCATTGGCATACGATCAACCAAGTTAATATTGACTTCTATGAAAGAAGAACAGGCGTTTCCTTTTAGGGCAAAATTATTTGGCCGATCGGTTACATTTTGTGCGTTGGTCTTCTGGGGTTAAACGTCTAGCTACCCACAAAAATTGCCCTGAGTATAACAAGCAAACATATAAACGGACATGGACTTTTAATAATATTATGTGATAGGTCGATAGCCGGCACCCGTAAGTTAGGTACTCAAAGACGCCTTACATATTTTGCATTTTTAGGAAAAACCAAAGTGAATAGCGTTCAAATAAATTTGGTGGGTGGATGATTTTTTCGTACAACAGAGTGACGATTCGTAATATATTATTGGACTTCTAATAAGCGTAAAGGCTCTTAGAGTAAGTTCATATGTTTTGTCTAATTG